AGTGGAAAACCCATGGAGGCGTGGTCAAAACAGAATACCTACAAGATCCTAAGGGCAGAAATTTAAAAACATGGCCACATCACATGGATGACACACTAGTCATTGGCTCATGAAAAGGAACTTTTGTTAACATTCTTTGCTTGCAACCTTGTGCAGAATCAAACATTCTGAATCGAGGCTCCTGTGAAGCCAGCGCCGGCCATTGCCACCAACCCAGATGAGATGGACACATTGCCGATCGAGATCGATGAGGCCGTTCCAACATGAAAGCCGTTCCAACATATATACTGAGTTCCCGTGCAGGATGTGATCCCGCCTGGTGGCCTGGCGAATGAAGTTGCATCTCCAGCGGCAACCAAAAAGACTGTGAAGTCAACTTTCCAGGACCTCCTTTAGTGTTTTTCTCATCAATGTCAGTATGTTTAAACTATACCTTGTGGGACAAGGTAGGCTCGACGTAGAAATGCCAGGGGTTCGACGTAGAAATGCCAGGGGTTGACGTAGAAATGCCAGGGGTTGACGTAGAAATGCCAGGGGTCGACGTAGAAATGCCACTTGTTTCTGTTTTTAGACCATATCATAGAAATATTTAAACCTATTCAATCTTGCATCAGGACACCATCCCCAAAGTGTCAAATCGTGTTCTGTGGCAGGACCACAAGCCCCTGGAAGACAAACCCGCGATGCTCACAACGGAGGAATCGGCTGCTGCAGCCACAGCGGCATTGCAAATCTATGCCGGGAAGACGGATGGTGAACAGGACATCCTGCAGGCAGGGATCTGTCATAACAAAGAGTCCATGTCATGTTGAATCTTTGTGCAATTGCAGGCTCAAGCACGAGTCAGAGAGCTACACCGAGACCTTCAAGCAAAGGAAATCCAGGCGAAACAGGAAAAAAAGGAGAAAAAGAAACAGAAGAAGGCAGCAGAGCAACAGAACAGTGAGCCCACAGTGGCAGTTAAGGCTGCTGACATGGACCCTGAACAGGAAAACCACCAGGAACAGACCGAGGTCGTCCCTCCACCGGCCAAGAAATTGAAGAGATCACAAGCTGTCAGTTATGCAAGTGCTGACATAGAAGCGTTTTTCCAGTCAGCAACAACCACTGCACCAGACGTGCAGAACCCAGGAATCAAGTTTGTTACGGTTTGTCATTTCAAATGCATTTGACACATTCAGTCCTGCTTGATCAATAAATTCGATTGCCAGGTGCTGGAGAAATTGAAGGGCCTGGGCACCATCACTGTGCCAAGCGGTCTGCTGGAAAAGAACAAGAAGAGTTTTACAGTGCCTGCACCACCTCACCTACAAAGTTCCAACTGCAAAAGCATTGAGATCAAGTTCTGGCCGTATCTCAGAGCATTCTAACATTCGTTTCTTGAATAAATGACATAATATATAGTTTTGTGCTGTGCCTTGCAAAGGCATGCTGCCGGGTTCTATGTCAAGAAGGTGCACAACAAGACCGACCAGGAAATCCAGCTGGACAAAGGGGGTGGCTGTAATTTGAAAATGTGCCAATATGGCATTGCTGAAGGGTGGCTCAGCAAAAAGTTTTGATTGTGCAGCCCTCCCCCCAAAAATGGTGAAGCTAGCCTCTGTGATTCGCCAAGGTGGGCCTTGGCACAGCACCTGGCAGGATGGACGGCAGCAGAATTAGCAACAGGCAGCACTGGAGTGTGATGGCATAATTGCCAACGCCATGAATTTTGACAGTCGACTTTGGCAGATCTGGGGAAACAAAAAAGGAGAACCAGTCTTGCAACAAGTCAAACTCAGCCATTTGATGAGACAGAGTTGTTCATTGAGTATTATTTCTTACTCCGTTAATTCTGAGCAAATCTGGCTTCAAGGGATCTTAGTGGGTTTTCGCGATCGAATCCAGTGGGAATGGGGGTTGAGAAACATCACCCGCTTGGACTCACACGTGGCCAAGCAGCATGTTTGATTGCAATGGGCGCTCCACTCGTTTTGCCCGAAACCCAGACATACTCAAACCAAGCCTTGCAGTACCAGCAGGTTTGTCTGCATGAAGTTCAGCCTCAGGTTACATGCCATCGATTTCATTGTGCAGAACACCCCTGCATATGCATCCGCTTCAACCCGTGTCTGGGTCTCAGCGCAGTTCTCAACTGAATGGAGGCGTTTAAAGAGTGTCCCTTTCTAAGAACATGGAGATCTACGAAATGTACAGCGGCACGAGCAAAATATACCAGGCAGCATGTCGAAATCTCAGGGAAACAATGTCGAAAAATGGAAACCGTTCAAACAAGAGTCGGCTTTCTTACACAAAAAAAACATGTGGCATTGAGGCCGGCGGGGGCTGATGAGGTGTGCTTCTGCATCAGTTGATTTTCACTGCACTTTTGTAAATTGTGGTCAGAGACCCCGGGTCATGTGATTTGCCTTTGCCAGTGATTATTACGACATCGTCCATCGCCTTGACCACAATGACGTGGAGTCAGTGCCCTCAACTCAGACGAAGTATGTGTAAAAAGTTTAACCAAGATCAAAATTCCCTGTATGTGATTTCGTTTTATGCAAAAGATACAGCTTGCCATTTTATGGCTTTTCAACTATTGTGTTGGTGTCCTGAGGCCAGGCATATTAGCGGCAATCAAGGGGGTTCTCCGGCTACGACCGGGGTCCCTATGTTGGCTTGGGATCCCATGTTCACTCTTGATTTGGGTGTCGCTTGGAACATCGAAGCGTGGCACGTTGTTTGATATGTTTGGAGACATCTCCCTGGAGAGTGTCAGAAAGTCCAACATACACTTGGGCAGGGCTGCACTGCTCATACTCTTGTGTGTAGCACGGCAAATATGGTGGGCTGTGGAACAGCCTGGGTCTTCACGTTTGCCAAAGATGCCCTTCTTTGCAGAGCTGCTCATGGACAAATTGATTCCCACCAGCTTCCAAAGGTTGTCATGCCCTCAGCTGTGTATGTTGGTGTTGTTCATGTAAAATTTGCATGTTGATTGTCCTATAATTGTGTCCTGTGCCCAGTTGGATGGGAGCGTTTCCTGGAGCAACATCACCAAAAAGAACGATGATTTTTGGATCTTGGTCGGGGCCCCAGTGTCAAAAAACATCAACAACACCAAAACAGTTTGAGAGCGATCCAGGCCTGCAATTGAAAAGTTCCAGAACAAGCTCACGCAAAAACGCCGGTCAGAGATCAAGGAAAGGTGCATTTGAAATGATTGATTTCTTTCAACATGGAAAGTTCACACACTTTCAAAATGGTTCCTTCAGGGTTTATGTATGTTTGGTACATCAGGACTTTCAAAACAAGAACAAGATCGAGATCGTGAAACGCAGTCGCCACAATGGGAAAGTGTTTGCAACTGAGTTGTTCACGGTCGACCGACAATTAAGTTTGCCAGGTTTAACTAGGCTTCCCGGCTTCCCAGGTCAGGAGGAAAGCACCTCAAGGCTACGGGTGCATACCCAAAGACATTTGCAACCCGTGTGATTTCGGAGCACTTGAAAGTCAAACGTGTCATAGCCCCAGTTCAGGAACCATGAATCTTGTTTTTCTGCTGCACTCCAATGATGTATGTTTGTTGCCAAGCTTTGAGTAAGGATATGCCACGTGGCAAGAAGATGGATTTCTCCCAGATCCAAAAGGCTGGCTAACTGCAGTCTGTCACATTTGATCTAGTCATGGATTGTTTATTTCATATATTTTCAAACTGTGGTTCGTGTGCATGCACTAAAACCAATGAATCTGTGCCAGGATCACCCTGCTGAGTGGAAATATTCAGATCTAGGAGATCTGGAGATGTTTCTCCAGGAACGAATAGATGAGGGTACGTTCAAGCCAACGTTTCCGTTTCAGCCAGAATTTTTGCCATAATCTCTGAGTTGGTGGCTTTTGAAATGCAAAGGCTGAAAGCCCGAAGCCACCTCAGAGCATAGCATGGGGCAAGCTGAAACAAACAAAAGCGGAGACACAGTTCTTGATTCACAATCGAAGATTTAATTTCTCTGATCATGGATTTTGATGAACAGTTCAATCCATTTCCGTGCAATTGCCTCCACTGCTTAGGAAAATTCAATCAGTGTGGATGTCAGTGGTTCACTGCATACTTTTCTTTGGATGACAGCAACAAAATCTGTCATTAGGTGACCCTGCGAGCCGCACTTGCAGCCTGAAGCATCATTTGCAGAAATTGGGGAAAACGGCCAAAATGGCAAAAAACCAATGACCGGGAAATGCCGGCCAATGATCGGGAAATGCCGGGGGGTTGACCGGGAAATGCCGGCCAATGATCGGGAAATGCCGCCAATGACCGGGAAATGCCACCCCCTTCTGGAAGTAGTGGATTTTGAACAAAATTTGATGAAAAATCAAGAATTGGTGAAAACGGCCAAAATGGCAAAAACCAATGACCGGGAAATGCCGGCCAATGATCGGGAAATGCCGGGGGGTTGACCGGGAAATGCCGGCCAATGATCGGGAAATGCCGCCAATGACCGGGAAATGCCACCCCCTTCTGGAAGTAGTGGATTTTGACCAAAAGTTGATGAAAACTCCAGATTTGGGCAAAACAATGAAGTGGTCTTGATGAGTCAATGTCCCCAGCTGGCATTGCAGCCTCAAACCTATAGTGTCAAACTTGACCAAGCCGAGGATTGGCTGGATTCCTAGATTCAAGATCTGGGTTTGGGAACTTCATTGTTTCTACAACTTGGAAACTTGCAATTGCATGATACGTAGGCCTGGACTTACTCCATGGTGATGGCATCTGCACCCAAAGATGCAACATGTTTGGCCCTCGGTTAACCTTCTGAATGGACTATTGATTGAACAGTCAAATTATACAGTATGCGATCTGTTGAGGCACTGCTGACGTTGCAGAGACACAGGCTGGTTTCAACTGTCTCGGAATGAATGTGCACAACTACTATGGTGATGACCTTCACATTGCATCTAGATCTGTTTGAGAGGCAGAGAATGCAGAACCGGAAAGCAATGCATCCACCCCTGTGGAAATGAAAGAAAAAAAGGAAAAGAAAGACAAGAAAGACAAGAAAGATAAGAAAGATAAGAAAGATAAGAAGGAGAAGAAGGCCAAGAAGGAAAAGATAGGTGAGGACGATGCAGTCTCTGTCAAGGAGTCAGAAGCAAGAGATGCAGGAGATGACAGGAGTCAGTCCCCATCCGACAGTGCCCCCTCAAGCTCGGTGAAGACTGAGCCTGCACCAGCAGCTGAAGGTGAACATCCTGGTCAGGCCATGGCCAAAAGTACATTGAACGCCAAGGCACTGGCAGCACTCAACAGAGCAGCAACGGCTGATTTGCAGCACCAGGTTGAAACTGACCCCGAAAAGAACGATGATGAGCTGCCGGAGCTTTCCGAGCATGTCAAGAAGCTTCGGCACCGTCATCTCAACCAGTTTCAGCGGTCTTTGAAAAGTCTGATACTCAGTAATGCTGACCCAACAGAAAATTAAATGACAACAATAATTTAAGAGCGTGCTTTGCTGCATTTTCCAGATGGGTTCAAGTTGGCCTCATCAAGAGAAGCTCCCAGGCAAGACCACACCGGCTGAAATCAAAGCCCTGGCTCGCGAAATCAGAGCAGGTGGGGATGGTGAGGGAATGATGCTATTCCATGAGACATATATGTATATAAATACATATGTATATATGTATATATATATATATAGACATATATATATATATGTATATATGTGTATATGTATATATATAATACATATATATATTGTATTGTATATAATATGATTATGTATATACTTTAGATGTTCAGCCCATGAAGCACTTGCCAAATTTCCTGAACAGCAAATAAAATTGTTTCATGGAAATATTTCTCTCCCAGGAAAAAAGTCGGGCGAGTACAGCGACCTTCTGGAGGATTTCTTTGCATGCAAAGGACTGTTGACAGCTGAAGCATTCCTGATATTTATTCCATGATTGTGTAATCATTGCAACTCATCAATGGAACATCTTTTGATTCATAGTTTTGGGCTCAAAACCAGGTGTGGCAATCAAACGATTTGGGCAACTTTCCAATGGCCCTCGTTCCTGTCGAACCCATGGCATCCATGCAAGCATACCTTGCTCCCTTGTTACACATCGACCGTGTGATTCAGAACCTGTATGAGGTTATGTTCGAACTGCAGGAACTCGAAGACGTTTTGACCGCTATGAATTTACCTGGCATCACTCCACCAATGTTGGACCTCGCCGCTCCAGTTCGGCGTATCATTGCAGCAGCCAAGGTTCATCGCCTTCGAACAATAGTGCAACTCCAGAGGAACTTGCACATTTACTGGCGTCACCATTGGAGTCCGCCAGAATTTGACTTTAATCATGCCTTGTAACCTTGCTACTGCCAATGTGAGCCAGTTTTTACATCTCAGGGTGCTCATCCACTGTGATGTGCCTAACCCAACCGTTCGAAGCCTGTGAGACGAAATCCCCTCGAAATCCCCATGTGTGAAAATAACTGTGCAGCTGCTTATTATTTGCATGTTTGAGTTGCAGATGTCCGGACAACAAAACTCACATCCATGTTATGGGACAAACAAATCCTCCTCATTGATGTTGCAGGAAAATGGGACGAAAGCCGCACCATGGACTCCCTGTGCCACCGCACTCGCAAGAAGAGAAGCCTGAAGCGGGCTTGGATGACACTCAAGGACTTGGAGAAGAGGTGCCATTCCTAACCTATAGATGTTTCATTGAAACGCTACAACAGTGCATAATCTTAATGGCCAGGATCATTTTTTGACAGGTGACAAAGTGGGATACCACCAATTCGTCTTTGATGTCCAGCCTGGGTCTCTCATGCAGCCAGGTTCGAGCGTGAATCCGATCCACCAGGCCTTGCAGCAGCGCTGTTCTCGGAAAAGGTCAAAGGTAAAATGGTCCGAGATCACCCAGAGTTTCCCGGCAACAAGGCGGGATTAGTTGTTGAACAAATCATCAAGAAACTTTTATACCAAAATGATTGTGGTGATTTGCATCCTGCGAACACAGGAAATGAGACAAGTCAAAGTCTACAAGGAGGAGGAGGAAGTCAGTGAATCTGAGGATGAACGTGAGACCAAGACCATGCACACAAAGGCGGACAAAGAGACTTTGTCGGACGAGGATTGTGATGATGATATGTTACTTGGCTAGTACTTTTGGCCAGGTGGATCAATGGAGGGATGGACCCATGCAATGCACAAGATATAAACACTTTTTAGCCTTTTGATACATATATATATATTATCATAAAATGATAAAAGGAATATCGGCTTCATTGTCGGACTTTTTCACCCTCAAGCTTTCTGTCACGTGGTGGCCTTTTTGGCTGGCTTCGACTTCATCGGCGTCGGTTTCACAGAGTCTTTTGACACACCCGGGCCCTTCATGGGCTTCTTCGGAATTGTCTGGTTCTTTCCTGGCTTTTTTTTGTCCTTCTGGTCATGCCCCTCATCCAGCACTCTTTCCCAGCATTCAGTGATGGTGTTGCGGTCCTTGTCCCAATCAAGGGATTTCAGCCTACAGCAGGTGTCTCCCAAAATTGGATGATGTCCCCTGAAACATGCCATTTTTGTGGGCCCCGTGCAAACCCTAATCTGGATTCATGTCCATATTATATAGGATGCGATACAGAAGAGACATGAAAACGTTGGACAATAAGGGAAAAATAAAATACAAGGGGCTTGAATCCGGATGCCGCTCCCTTCCAAGTGTGCACATACTTCTCCGAGATGGTGCTGTGCCGGACCATGGCTTGAGATCTAGAGCCAACGACGAACCAAAACTTTAAGCTTAGGAGGAAAGCTGCAGTTAATGCACACAAAACGCTTGAGTTGATACACCTATTCCAGTTCCATTAAATTATCCAAGCAGAGTTTCGAAAGTCTCTATCCAAGATCTTCCCTTGCCTGTCCATATTCCATGATAACCAGGATCCATACTATATTGGAATAGCTAACTGATATCCAATTGTCTTATCCAACTGAGATCATATGGTCTCTCTCAAACAATCCAGGGCAGTCCCCTGCCTCCGCCTCGCTCCATACTGCAATTGTGAGGCGAGATGTAACCTCGACAGCATCAGGGGCCACGGGAAGAAGGCCAAAGCCAAAGGGAAAGCCAAAGGCCAGAGTGTCCACACGAGGGCAGAAGAGACAGAAGGCTGGATATCCTTGAAGATTTCTGTCCAAAGTCCGGTCAGTGAGCCAAACGATTTGCAATCCCGAAAACCAAGTTACGATGATTATTTTAAAATGATTTTGGAATCCCAAAACCTTTTCAGTTCAAACAAAATCCCACCATGACATTTCCTGACTGCTGCACAGCCTGAATCGGTTTTTGGTGATGAGGAGGAAGACCCTGCAGCGGAAGCACAGAGAGAGCTGCTGAAGAACAAAAAGCAGGCCGGATATGTTCCTCATTTCGACTCATGGGTTGCCGTAACTCATGACCAAAAAATGTGTCCATTTATTGCATGCTTTGTCCCAACCATTCAGTGCAAGCCTTCTGCAGCTTGGTGCACTTCCAGCAACCACCTGCATTCAGGCAATCACCAGCATCGCCAGCTGTGTTGGGGAGAAGCCGGACATCGAAAAAAAGCTCAAAGAGAGTGGTGTGTCAGATTCTCAATCATTACCCTTTGCAGAATGATGGAACTCTCATTTGTAGCTCCAACATGTGTTGATGGTAGCCCAAATGACATCAAATAGAACTCTTATTTTTGGACGGTCTCACATGGAATAACACAAGTACATGTACCGAGTCGTGGTTCACTGGTAATGAAAAAACTTTGAACCAGCATCCCAGGAACCACCACTTCCTGACAGCCCTGATGCAAGACCTGGAAGAAGCGTCGACGGCTCTTAAAGGGCACCGTGAAACGCTTGAAAATGCAACCTCGGAGGAGGAGGCACAACATCACTACCACAATGATTCTCGATGTTTAATTTGTTTTTTGACAAACATCTAACACCATTCCGAATGGTCGCCCCATCAAATGCCCCAAGTCCAGATTTGAGAGGTCTGACTCAGCCCCAAAAAAACATCAGAATCACAAACCATCAGCAAAATTGGAATTGTGACTTTGGGTTGGAATGCTGTTTCAAAAGTCAACATTTCAGAACAGGAGCCACCAACAACTGCTGAGCCCCCGGATCAATCATTGCTGCAGGTGCGTGAGTGCCTGGAAAAGGTCAAGAGCTGCATCGAGAAGCACAAGAATGCTGCCCAGACAGCGAAGAAGAATATTGTGACTTGATCTGACTATATGATGTTTTGAGGAATGCTTTATGCATCAGAAAAACT